CCACCTATTTGCCACCTAATTCATTCATGTATGCTTACAGCAGGCAGCATTCCAGCATAAAGTTGTTCCTCTCAAGCCATAAATTTCGAAGTCTTTTTACCTGACTGCTCAAAAAGCATCTGTCTTAGCCCATGCATGATAATCATTTGTAAAGGTATTCTGAGAAAGCTGCTGCAAGCAGAGGACTGAGCATTATGTTTGATGTTTAATTAAGAATTGACATCACATTATTTGGGACATTCCCATAAGCGCTTTGTCCCCATCTTCAACAGCAAGCGCAGAGTTCCAATTCCACTGATACCAATAGCAGTCTAATTGTACATCCGTCTAACTTTTCCATTGAATGCTGATTGTGGACCCGATCCCCTGGTAATTCCTCCCAGTACCTTTCTCTTTAGACCATAATGATTCATTTGTAGTTCCGCTCTGTTCGTTCGCCACCAAAGGGCCCTTACAACATCTAGTTTGTCATGCATCAGTTCACCACCAAGTTGTAGAGAACCAAATTGTCTATTTGCCTGTTCCTTTCCTAAGACACCGGCATGTCCTGGGGAAAATATTCAAGATGTCAACTACCAGAGACCTCTGAAGCAATGTTTGCCTCTCTTCACTTTTCTCAACATGCTCTGTGAGTCGGTTACAATTACGACATGTGTGTACAGCATATCTCAAGCTTGTGAAAAGGCTGCAGTTACTGCCTCCACCTCCATTCTCAAACTAGATGTTGTGGTGTCGTATGCCAGGCTTTGTTGCACTAAGCGACATCCATTCACTTTTGCTAAGAACATCCATGAACTTCGTCTACCTTTCAACACAGAGCCATCGGTATAGATTATCACATCATCTTGACGAAAATTATCATGAATTAACTGTTGAACTTCTAATTCTGCAGAGCTCGCTGGCCAGTCCCTGCGCTCATGGCCTAGTGTGAACTCTACACGAGTCTGACTTTTGCTGGGACATTATGACCCTCTCCTCTCCTCGCCCAGTGTCATCAAACCTACACACATGTCTAATTGTCTTCAGCCGGTTCCCTCCAAGACCTTTTACTCCTCTCAGAACTGATATGTAACAAGGCACAGATGCAGACTGTGATGCCCATAATAAGCATGTCATAAAAGACAACTAATTCAGGCTTTGTTAAAATCAGAGGAAAGGAGCGGATATTGCCGCCTTACTGTAAATCACAAATAATGTGCTGACCACTTTTTAAGAGCTAAAAAAAAACAGAGGAAGAAGAATATATCCGCAGTATGCATCACTGCCCATACTAAGAGTGGTTAAGATGCCAGTCTGCTGCATACCAAACTGTAATGTTTATTTTAACATTATTTTAGTTTTATTTCTTATCAGTTCTCTTATCCCTGCAGTTAGTATAGCACAACAAAAAAGCACACATTCTACTGACATATTTTTCCAATGAGATAACTGATGGAAAAAAAAATGAAATCCTGGTAAAACTAAGAAATAATATATTTTATTTATCACTAAAATTAGACAAACTAGGTGAAAGTAATCACAAATTACCAAATGTTGTGTAAAAATGGGGAGTCACTACAGGTATCAAGAATGACTGAATTAACATCTCTATTTCTCAAATTAAAGAGCTGCTCATGTGTTACCAGGGCACTTAGTATAAGCAAAGAATATCAGCAATGCACCATAGTCAGCATCATTAACAGGTGGCTCTTGGTTACCCCTTTGCACAAAAAAAAAAGACCAACCAATATTGGGCAAGAGTCAGTACTCCATTGGACTATAAATGACAGGAGAAGAATGAAAAAAATCCTTGTGTAGGTTCCCGGGTCCTATTATAGGGAAAACAAGAATAGACCCCAGTGCCTACAAAAAAGCATGTCGTAAGAGTCGACTAATTAGGGGTTTTCTTCTAAGTCGGAGTGCTTCTGCCTCAGAGAAAATAAACCAGCAGTCTGCATACAAATGAGTCAGATCTGTAAAACAGATGCACTCGCAACACTTAGGTTCTGGAAAAAGACTGCAGTCAGAAGTTGATTGACAACCAGAACTTTCCGCCAGAATTTACAGCTGGTGAATGTGAAGAAGAAGAAGAATGAAAAAAAAAAGGATTTAACAGTGTTACTTATTGTTATTGTATGTGGATTATTTTTTCTGAGAGATCATAATCATGTTCTGTTGGTCGATAAAAAGTTTGGTGGATTTAGAGGTGTAATTTGGAGCCACATGACATAAAACATTCCTTATGGTAAAAGAAATGTGATTAATCAGAAAAGAATGTGCATGATCAGTCCCTTAAAACTTGAGAGTTTGCTAATGAAGAGATACCCCTATGGATGTTGTAGAAGTGATGTGGTGATAACTCTCACTAATTCACTAAAGTCTTTGAAACATCTGCTTTATCTTTCCTCTCAGTAAGCATTTAGGTTAGAATTTTATGCCCAATCATACATTCTTCATTACAAATTAAAATGACCAGATAATATGCAATTATTCTTTACATATAAATGCCAAGCTTGTAAATAGCTGATTTTTAAGTTTGAACATATCAATATGGATATACTAACCGTAAAAATGGCTGCTTATAACATTTTTATTTTTTCTAAAAAGATGGCAGAAGTTGAACAGATGACCCATCTTATAAAATTAAAAAAATAGATGCTTTGACAAATCGTTTACAAATTATTTCCAAATAAATGACACTAAAATATACTTTTACAATGCTTTTAAGTAACAGTCAATATAATTTTATGTGACCAGCCGCATGTCATTTTGAAGTTCCAAATGAGATTAGATGAGAATTTCCTGCCAGACTTCCATTCAATGTTGTTATGTGAAGGTTGGCTGTCTCACCCAACTGGAAATCTCTTTAAAAACTGAAATTGTATATTTAAAGTAGTAAGTAAGTTAGGCACTGGGTGGGTAATGTGGTCAGCATTACGCCGGCCATCTTTACTTCCCCAGGACAGCCATCCTGGTACCCATTTTAGGCTGAGTCGACCTGCGACACCCCATACCACGAAAAAATATCCACGCAGTTAGCAGTGGGTTTTGATCGTGGTACGTTGGAATCACGAGTCGGACTCGCAACGCCTAAGCCACGGACGCCGCTTGTATATTAAAAAAATATATAAACATGCAACTAGAGTAAATATTTACAGAAGTTAGTTGTAAATCTTTCAAAGGAGGTTGCAGGACCAATCACAACATTTGTTGGCTGTTTTGGGTTTTAATTAGACAATTTTACTATCAATAGTTTGCCATTGCCTTCTGAGCGGTCAGCTCTCAAAACTCAACATAAGGGGGTCCGTTGTTAAAGTGCCCAAAGCTGGAATCGAACCTAGTACCTTGGAGTTACAAGGTACATTCTCTATTGGCTGAATCAAACTGAGAGACCAAGTCAATGTGATAATGGATGCGATGGATATTTGAGGTATATGGTACATATATTTTTTCACAGATCTTAATTTTTCTTTTTCCTTGCCTTCACAGGCTGTAAGCTCTTGGGAAAAGTTCTGGTTGTTCACTCACCTCTGGATTTTCGTCATGTTCCAAAACTGGAGTTTTGCATGCATAACCATTTTAGACAACTGGCTTATCTGTTGGCACACTGCTAGTTCCTTGCCTCTCCGGCAGATATACTCAGACTTTGAAAGAAATACCCCTTATTAGTAGACTTTTATGATATGGCTGTTAGAGAGGAAAAGGGTTCTATTCTCTCTTCTTCCCCCCCCCCCCCCCCCCACGCCCCCACAATGGGACCCCAAAACCCACACTAGAATTTCAACAGATCAACTGGTTCTATGTGGGTGATGTGAAGAGTGTGATGTGCCAGCCAGCTTTACTTCCCAGAATATTTTCCAGAACCCATTCTAGGCTGGGTCAACCTGGGGCCCATGCCCCTGAAAAAGAAAAAAAATTCCTGATCCACAAAAATCTAAACACAGACCACTGGGCTGGCAGATAGGCCAACTACAGGGTGTCCCATAAGTGTCCATACATAGGAAACAGAATTTAAAAAAAAAAAAAATCAAACCACTTTTATTTATATAATATACTCTACATGCTTTATAAAACAAATTTCAATGCGTGTCACAAATAAGCACAGCTGTAGTTATGCTAGCAACAGCACTAGTGATATATTTAGTTTCTATGTCTTAGTCTTAGTCGAGATTTTAACACCACTGCTGTTGGGTTTCCCGACACTTGCTCTGTTCCAGTGCCAATGCAAATCAAATGGAATGTCCCCCACTGTGGCATTTGAAAAGCTTGTAAACAATTAGCCCTGGAACGATCCAGAAATATGCGCATGCAGCAAATGCACATTTCAGTTGCCAGAGATGCCAAGGCCAACAGTCACCACCAGAAATGTAGTCTGTCATTGATGGAAGTAGTCGAGCATGACAAGTTGGCCATACACACATAGAATTACTATATAAGTTATTTCACTAGCTCATGTGTAAACCGGCTACTGGCCATAATGAACACAACGACATAACTGCTGCACAAATGAAAGGCATTCCACAGGGGGGAAAAAAAGCTCACAGGGCTGCACCAAGCACTAAACTCAATAGCTCAGGCAGAAAAACCATAGACTATACCATCCACATGTGGAAATTGCACCTGCAAAGTGCTGAAGGAAGCTAAAACAATCCAGAAGTGTAACATTCTGCCATGCCTCCACCATTTTAGGCCGGAAGTCACCTATGTATGTAAACTTACGGGACACGCTGTATAAGATTCAGCAAAGCAAAGAAGGTTAAGGACACTTTTCACACCATCAAGCATATGGTGCTAGGTGCATCTTTTTCATAAACCAATAAGCATTTAATGGGTGATGCGACAAACATCACACCAGTCAACATGACTTTCCAGGAAGTTCCCTAGTATCAATTTTAGGCTGAAGCAATGTAATGTTTATAATAAATGTGAAATGATAAGAGCTGCTGGATGATGGATTCAACAATAAAAAATGAAAATAATGAACAACATACATAGTTTATATACAAACAGCCTTACCTCAGTCATCTTAATGTCAGTAATCGTATAAAAAGCACACATGATAGAGCTGGAGATTGAAACAAAACAGTGACAATACAATTACACAAATTAAGCCAAGATTGAGATTACGAAAAAAAACAAAAAAACATCCACAGATCATCAAATTTTGATGCTATAATTTATTTCTAACAACAACAACAATAAAATTAATTATCTAACTATGATGTTATAATGTCTTCTTTCAGAGGCCATACTGAAACCAGTCAAACAAAAGATTAAATGGTTTGGCCACCTGATGCAAAATCTCTGGTACCTAATGTCTCTGAGAGCTATGTTGAAGAAATATAATTAACATAAATTAAGTGGAAGAGGAAAGATGGCAGCCATAAGAATAGGGAGATCAGCTTATACAAAGCATCAGAAAGAGTAAGAGGCGGAAGAAGAAGATGAAAATAACAAAGAAGATGCCACGCTGAAACATGTTTCTTTGTGTTCACCAGCTGTAAACCCAATGGAAAGTCCTGGTAGTTTGTCCACTTCTAGACTTTCGCTTTGTTTAAGGACCTGAGTTTTGCATGTGCACCCATTTTAAAGATACCTGTTCGAAATTTTAGTTACCAGTGATATTCATAAATGGACAGGATGCAGACAGACAGACATATAGACAGACAGGTAAGAAAGAACAGATGAACAACTAAAAGATCTTGGATTCTGATCCAAATTGAGTCAGACGTTTTGCTTTAAAAAAAAAACAACCACAAATGAGTAACAGGTAAAGTCATGGGAATTAAAGTGGACCTGCCTGATGTCATATAACCATAAAACCCATTGAGTGCCAGCTAGTTTACAAAAATGTGACTTTAGCCTCATATGCTCTACACGGCACTGGTGAGAAAAGGGTTAATAACATTTTTTTTAAATTAAAAAAAAATAATAATAAATAATGTAAAGAATTAAAAATTAAACAAATAGCTAGCTGCCTGGTACTGAATGTGTACTTCTTCTTCATGCTTACCCACTATAAACTCCAACAGAAATTCTGGTTGTTTGTCCGCCACTAGACTTTAGTCTTGTTGCAGAAACTGAGTGCTGGTGCAAATATTTCTTTACAGATCTGACTCACTTGTATGTAGACTTTTGATTCCTTGCTGCCTCTCAGGCAGGTGTACGACTTGGAAGGACCCCCCCCCCCCCCCTCCCAATTTTTCGACTCTTACGAAATATTTTTTAGAAAAGCAATTGGTCTATTCGTTTCCCCACAACGGGACCCTAGAACCTAAATCAGGAGCGTAATGAGTTTTAACACAACTATACAAAGGTCTATGTTCAATACGGTACTTACTATAGCACATCACTGCAAACGTCCATGTTGTCACTCCCCCGATAGTGGCCGCAAACCAGACCTCATTTGTCTGGCTAATGATGAAACCCACCAAAAGGAGGATAATGGCCAAGAAGAGGCAAGTTAAAACTGAAACAAATAACGGTAATATCACAGAAACAGATTATGTATAAATGTTAACTTAAAAAAGACAATGGTATCAATACTGAGGACTCATATTAGCACATTTTTGTCTTTCCAGACAATAGTGGTACACTGCGCTATGAGGAGGCATGGCTTATCCCATAGTGATGGCGAGTGCGACTAGCAGGCCTGCCCTCATTAATACAAGTCTTCCTCAATTATAGCATGGGATTTCAGGACCACTGCCATCATCTGTATTTAGTAAGTTTTTTCACAGGTGCTCAGCTCTCATTCTTTCTGCAACCATTGCTTCCTTCATTCTTGTTTCCTTCCTGATTTGTGGCCCTAAACCCTCAAGCTCAACACCCACCCCCCCCCCCCCCCCTTTTTTTTTTCCCTTCCCATTCATCATCATCATCAGGTGCCTTGCCGACCGGCGTGGGCGATCATGCCTCTCCATAATCTGCGATCTCCTGCAGCATGTATCAGTTCATGTGCCGACACACCTCCATGTCATGCAACAAGACTGTCAAGCATCTTCTCTCGCTGTCTTCCTCTCTCTCCTTCCACATATCTTTCCAGTGGTCACAACATGTTCTATTTTCCCTCTTCTCATAACATGGCAGAAAAATGATGACTGTCTCCTTCTGATGTCTGTGATAAGTTGTCTTCGGTCTCCCGCCTCTTTCAAAACCTCTTGGTTGCTCTTTTTGGCTGTCCAAGGTATTCTAAGCATTCTTCTGTAAAACCACATCTCCGAGGCCTCCAGAAATTGTTTGGCCTGCCTACCGATTGTCCAGGATTCACAGCCATATGTCAAAACTGGATGTATGTAGCAAGATGAAATTCTTTTTCTAACTCTCAATGACAAGGATATATTGCACAAGATGTTTTTCATTTTATATTGCATTCATTATATTCCCATTCATACACCACTCTAATACCTAAATGATGTACAATCAGACAGTTACTGGTACCATCAGAACTAGAACTCTTCGCTTGCTGTTGCAGATGAGGACGTAGCGCCTATGGGAGTCTCCCGAGTGCCATGATGTAAATTCCTAATTCAACATTCTAATACCTAAACCAAAACAGTGGTAAATACCGGAAGTAACAACAGTTTGTTTTTCAAGTTAACACATGGCTGTGAATTCTGGATAATTAGTAAATAAACACAGGGAATATCCAGTGAAGCCTCATAGACAGGGTGGGGGGGAATCACTTTCAAAATATCCTACCTTGAATTTGTCGTCCTAAAGAATGATGTTCTATATCTGCACTGCTGCTTCTGGTACTGGCACTGTCAAGGTTGCTGCCTGTCTGAGACTTGGAGAGATCCCTCGTTGAGAGAGAGACTAACTCCCCCTCTGTTGAAGTTTTATGTCTCTCATTTGGATTAGTTAAGATGTTCAGTTGGACTTCACGAAATCCTTAATTTAAAAAAATAAAAGTCACAAAAACATTTACGCACTGACTAATAAAAGCTCCTAAAATCCCATGCTCTGCCTGTAAAAGACTGGTCTTAATGTAAGTGGATCTTGCTAGTCCCCCTCACCTTCACCATAGGCTGTGATAGCCACGCCTCCCAACAGCAAAATATGTATACATATATACACACCATCTGTGAGGAGAGGGGGATCTCTATAGTGAAGTAGTCAATCCATATGCCTGGCACTCTGAAGGTCATGGGTTTGATTTACAGATCATCATTCAATTCTTTGAAGGATACAAGGTACTAATCACGGAATTCACCCAATCTCACTCAAGCACAAGATTTCAGAGATATTATCACGGGCTATCCTATGTTTTAGGGGTGTTATGAGATGCCTGGCAATTTTACAGAGATAACGGGGGACTGCCGAAGCTACTGAGTTCCTGAACTGCGTGAAGATCTTGGCAGGTGGCTAGCCATTCTGAGGAGAGAGACTGAGCCATATGGGATAAAACCTGGTGCAATGAAGCTGATCCTCTTAATTTTAACTCTAAAAAAAATATATATATATAATTTCAAAAGACAGAAAGATGCAAACAACAATAGAAAAAGCTACTGACATAGACAAAGGTAGAAAGGTGTGGATTCCTGAGTCCCACTGTGGGTGAAAACAAAAACAGGTCCAGTGCCTCCCCCAGCAAGCATGGCCTAAGAGTTGACTAACTGGGAACTTCCTTTGAAGTGCACCTGCCAGAAAATCATGTGACCAAAGGTCTGCATGAAAATAAGCTAAATTTGTAAAAACTAAGGTCCCTCAACACAAGGTCAACACATGCCAAATCACAGGCTCCCAAAAAAACTCTTCTATGGTGAGCTGCAAAATAGGAAACATTCCCAGGGCGGGCAAAAGAAACGCTTTAAGGACACCTTAAAGTCTTCACTCAAAGCATTTAGGATGGATGACACTAACTGAAAGGCTGCCTCACAAGACTGAAATGCCTGGCGTGCAACTCTACACGAGGGCGCGGCTACATGTGAAGCAAACAGAAAAGCAACACTGATTAGGAAAAGGATGGACAGAAAGGCGACTGAAGGAGATCCCTCCCTGGCACAACACTCATTCCCTGTCCTCACTGTCCAAGAACTTTTCCTGCCCGCATCGGCCTCATCAGTCATCTTCGTACTCATACTTGATGAAAATGAGTGGTCATCATCATGTTGATGGACAACACACACACACACACTTAAGTCCAAGTTGGACGACAACCAGACTTTTCCACTTGAATTTAAAACCAGTGAACATGAATAGGAAGAAGAATTTTTTGCACATCAGAAAAACAATAAACAATTACCAAAAAAAAAAAAAAAAAAAGTAAGATCCCTTTTCCATGCCTTTAGGCATATAGGGCTAGACCTATATTTTAATAGACATATCGGCACAAGAGGGGTGATGTGGTCTGCACCCTTTGGCCGCCTTTACTTTTTTTCAGGACTGCACCCAGTACCCACTCAAGGCTGGGTCGACCTGGGAGTCAAGGTCATTTTTTTTTTAAAGTCTGGCTCCGCCAAGAAGCAAACCCAGGACCTTCCGATCCACACTCGAGCATCTAGCTGCTAAGCCATGTCAACTCCCATACAAACAATGGTTGACTCATATTTGCATGCACCAATTGACACTTGATAGATGTTGTGGTTAACACAATAATGACCGCCTTTACTTCCCTGGACATTCTTTGGTAACCCCTTTGGGCTGGGTTAACCAGGAAGCCAAAGTCAATAATAATGAATGTGGTTGTTGTGGATTCTAACCAAAGATGCTCCTGCCACATGATCACTTCTGACAAACTTCATACAAGTTATGAAGAATCTAAAGCAAGCAGTAACTATCCACACATTTTCAAAAATGTACAGACACACTGCTGACAAACTTCATACAAGTTATGAAAGAATCTAAAGCAAGCAGTAACCTATCCCCACATTTTCAAAAACGTACAGACAAACTGCTGAAAAACCTCTAAGCTATAGAGGACCTTAATGGACTAGACAAATGTGAACAAAACAACAAACAAAAAATCAAAATACAGAGATTCTGGAAACACTGTGAATGAAAAGAGGATTACTGAGAGAAAAAAAAAAGCGGGAATTAAGGATCGACATAGAAAAAAACGAGATGCACACCAGAAGACTTGTTAATCAACATAGAACTGGTACTATTAGCCATCGGATGTTGGGGTTCATACTGAGGGGAGGATCTGAGCACCTATGGACGTGTCCGGAGTGCAATGATGATAACCTAACTAGCTAACTAACTAACTAACTAATAAAAAACAGGACCATCACAATTATTTTGGACACACTGAAAAAACATAATACACTTTAAAAAAAAACCATACTGAGTGAAAGGTCAAGGGCAAGAAAGCAATAGGCAGACAATAATACAAGTGTGAGGACAATATCAGTAGATGGACAAACAGCAGTGTGAGAGAGTGTACAACCAAGAGACAGAATGTGTTGGAGATTCACTGCAGCCAACTTTCATTATGGAGATGGCACCTGACTGAGTGAACAGAACAGGAGGGATGCCTACCCACATACTCCTGGGTGTGAGGTCTATGTCCACGCCGCGGTCTAGAGCACCTGAAAAACCGTACTTGCAGCACTCCATTAAAGCTGGTTGTCTGAGCATTGCAAGTAAGCTCTCTGCAAGCAAACATAGAAGCATGTAAAAAAAAAACATGAAATCAAAGCCAGCCAATCTTCAGCAATCTTCTGGGTGTTAATCCCTGTGTGGGTTCCGGGACCCTGTTATAGGGACAAACAAGAATAGACCCACTGCCTACCTAAAAGCTTGTAGTAAGAGTTAACTGGGAGCTTCCTTCAAAGTCAGAGTGCATCTGCCTGAAGGGTAAGGAACCAGCAGTCTGCATATAAATGAGTCAGATCTGTAAAACAGATGCACACGCATCACTCAGGTTCTGGAGCAGGAATGCAGTCCAGAAGTGGATGAACAACCAGAACTTTGCACCAGAGTTTACAGCTGGTGAATGCAAAGAAGATAAGGGTGTTAACTGCTCCTTTGAACAGTAATTGTACAACTCTTACTTAGTCACCTGGACCTAGAGAGCAGGCTGAGAAAGGTGGAGACAGGACTGCTCCATGCAAAGTGGCAAGCATCACTTCAGAGGTCTGGGGTGTTGGCGTCTTTTGGATATTATCTCTAACCGTGTGGCTTCTGGGGCCCCACTGTGGGAGAAAACTAGATTAGACCCACTGGCTGCCTAACAAGCATGTCAAAGGAGTCGAGTAATTCGGGTGTTCTTTCGAAGTCAGGGTGCATCTGCCTGAGAGGCAAGAAACCACCAGTTCGCATACAATAAAGTCAGACCTGTATAACGAATCTGCATGCAATGCTCGGGTTCTGGACTGGAACAAGTCTAAAGTCCAGAGGTGGATGAACAACTAGAATTTTCTACCAGAGTTTACAGCCAGTGAATGCGAAGAAGAAGAAAAAGAATGTAATAAAAACCAGCAAATCTTTATATGAGAATGTCCAGGGAAGTAAAGGCGGTCATTATTATGTTAACCACATCATCCATCAAGTGTCGATTGGTGTATAAAAATCTGAGTCAGCTATTGTTTGTCTGATGTGCATCAAGCATTAAAACAGTTTTAAATTTCCCGTGGAAAAATTCGGTTGCGTAACTTGGATTTTGGTCTTTTCTAGAACCGAGGTTTCGTGAGCCGTTTTACATGTTTTGGGTTATGGAAATAAGTTTTCCTTTTAAAAAATTTCACCTTGCTTAGGATCACAGAGCAGGTTTAGAAAAAGGGGGAGGGGGGGGGGCAGGGGGGGGGGCGCTCCCTATAAAGTGGCAAGCATCGTTTTTGGTCCGGCTCTAGGTCTTTTTGGGTTTTTCCCTAATGGGGTGGTTGGGGGAAATGAAAAGGCAGATAGGCGGGGTTTTGCACAATTGGTGTAAATGAGCATGAAAGCTTTATTTGTTTAAAGGGCCCCCTTTTGGGAGTAAACAGTGCGGGGGGCAAAAAAAAGATCACACCCCGTGACAAAATGGGAGAGTGAGGAAAGGGCCCGTGAATCTGGCCCCGAAACCCCAAAAGCCCAGTGGGGGACGATGGAACCCTCCCGTCCCGACGTTACTGAACCCACTCGAAAGGAATCAGTGTTGCTGCTGAAGATGGGGATGGAGTGCTTATAGGAATGTTCTGAGTGCGGTGATATCGGTTCTCAACTCAAAAAATCAAAGCCTTTGCACCTGGTGGTTTCCCATCCCCCTTTTGGGGTCCGGGCACGGTAGAAAAAACAACCCTTTAAAGGGTGAGAATCAGACACGAGCAAATCCCCGAAAAAACCCCCTTTAACCACAAATTTCAGTTATATTTAAGAGTGATAGACTGGCAGGTTAGGGTTAACTGTAGATGGGCCGCCCAAGTCATGCGGGCACTGTCATCCCTTAAAAGGTAGGACATTCCGAGGATTTTTGGGAAACAGCGTGTCCCCCATAATCTGGAAAAATACAAGAACTGGGGGAAAAAATCGGGACAGCCAAGCAGTGAAACACAACAGACGCACACAAAGTCTTTTCAACCGCCCTAGGATTGGCACCACTGACCGTAAAGCAGCGAGATAGTTACACTGTTCCCAGAAAATTTTGTACATTTCCCCGGGGTGGGTTCCAGGACCCCAGTTTTGGGGGGAATACAAGAACAGATATACCTCCCAAAAAGCTTTTGTCTAAGAGCGATAATTGGGGCTTTCTTAAAAAGGAGGCACGGGAGGGCAAGGAAAAAACCAAAACTTTTTAAAAAAGCGAAAATGTGACAGCAAACTGGTTGGACAGGGGGCCAGTTCAATGGACGACAACCCGCTTCCGAAGTTACAGCGGGAACCCCAAGAAAAAAAAGAAAACAAAAGTTTTTTGTCAATTTTTGAGGGCAAGGGCCAAAAATTCCGAAAAAACAGAGTTTATCTCCTGAAGGCAAAAACCCAAAAGTCTGAAGAAATAAGTCAGATTTGTAAAAACTGATGTGCAACACAAATCTGAAGTCCCGGAACAAGACCAAAGTCTAGATGTGGACGAACATCCAGCACTCTTCACCATGTTTACACTGGGTGATTAGAAAGAAGAAAAAACAGAATTGCAGAGCTGCACTAGTCAGAAAAATCATGCCATTCCGGAGATTTAACCCGGGCCTCCACCTCAACAGGCAAGGATACTAACCACTGTGGTTTTAATTCCCTTCTTCTTTTTATGTTATCCATATGGGCTGGAGTATGTCTACCCCAACCTTTGTTTTATACTTCAATCAAATCTTGCACAAATCACCTCCAACCATGAGTGATACAGCATTTCCTTGGGTCCCCCTCTCTAATTTTCCCCCCCAACCCCGCAACATATATTTTTTCCTTTTTTGACATGACCAAAAAATGTAAATTCTCTTCTATCTTTGGGAACAATCGTCGAGTCGTTCTTTTAAGACATCTTGATTTTATTGTTATTGTCCCGAGTATTTTTTACATTCATCACAAAATAGCCTTGGCTTCCTAAAAAAGTTTAACAATCGTTTTAAATGACAGATTTTTTGTCTACGTTTCTTCAACAGAAAATTCAAAACAGAAAATGATTGTTACTTACACATAAAGCTTGTTGGAACTGTTAATAT